CGTGCTGCCGCGGCCTGGGAGCCGAGCGGAGCGGGCGGAGCAGCCAGGACCTGACGGGAGGGAGCGGGTGGGGGCTCTGGGTGTGCCGCCGCCAGAGGCGCGGGGGCCGGGCCGCTGCGAAGCGGGGCGCTGACGGTGAGTGAGCCCCGGCCTGCAGGTCGGTGGGTCCCCAGGGGCGGGAGGGATGGGAGAGGGAGGCGGCCTCCCCTTCCTGGAGCTCTCCCACGGAAGGCGGAAGGCACCCGCGTCTCTCCAACATCCCGCTTTCCTGACGGCGAACCGGACCTCTTTGGGGGACCTAACGAGGAGGCTGAGCCTCCTGCGGCCCGCTCCCTGACCCCCATGTTGGAGGGCTGTCTGCGCGCCAGGAAGGGATCCCCAGACAGGGCCCACGTCTGCAACGAAGTCCGGGCGCAGCTCTTTCCAGGGTGGACCTGGGGCTGCTCTTCCAAGGAGAGGAACTGCTCCGAGGAAAAAGCGGGGTCAGGGTCAGCTTAAGGTTACGGATTAGGATCTGACCTTGTTAACCTCACAGGCTAACAGGGGTGCTGTCCCCACCACCCAGAGCAGCATGGATGCCCCCCGAAGGGACATGGAGCTGCTCAGCAACAGCCTGGCGGCCTACGCACACATCCGCGGTGAGGGCGGCTCGGGGCATGCACCCTTCCCTTCCCCTCTGAGGCCCCATTCCGCTCCTTCCCTCGCCGCCCCTACCATTACCCGCCCCCCACCTGCCAGTCACCTACTCCCACTTCTCCCCATCCTTCATTACCCTGCATTGCCGATTAGCGGCTACTTAATGTCCTTCAAATAGGGAGGGGGGGTACTGTCCTTGCCTCCCAGACTTAGAACCTGGAGTCTTTTTGGGGACTTCCATCCGCCAGGGCCTCTCCGTGATTTCTGCCCTCTGACCTCCAGCTAACCCTGAGAGCTTTGGCCTCTACTTCGTGCTGGGCGTCTGTTTCGGCCTGCTGCTAACCCTGTGCCTGCTGGTCATCAGCATCTCCTGTGCGCCTCGCCCGCGGCCACGGGGCCCTGTGCCGCGCCGGGAGCCCCGCAGCAGCACCCTGGAGGCTGAGGACGACGACGAGGAGGACGAGGAGGACACAGTGACGCGGCTGGGCCCCGATGACACACTGCCTGGTCCGGAGCTGTCTGCTGAGCCCGACGGGCCCCTGGGCGTCAACGTCTTCACGTCAGCAGAGGAGCTAGAGCGGGCGCAGCGCCTAGAGGAGCGGGAACGGATCCTGCGGGAGATCTGGCGCACGGGGCAGCCGGATCTGTTGGGCACTGGCACGCTGGGGCCCAGCCCCACAGCCACAGGCACCCTGGGTCGCATGCACTATTACTGACCCAGCGGCTCCAGCTGCAAGGCTCTCTGGTACTGGACATGCACAAGAGCTCACAGCTGCCCCAGGACTTTCGGACTGCCCCCGCCTGCAGTGGTATGGTGGCCCCGCCCCCACGGTGCTATTGGGCGTGGATCCCCACCCTCTGGGAGGCACCCTTCTCCAGTCCCACCAGAAAACCTTGGGGGGCCAGAAAACCATGAGGGGACAGCAGGACGCAGGGACCCCACTCCCACTCCAGCGGATGGTTAAAAGGTGACGTGACCAATGAAAGCTACATTGCCAGTGACTTAGTGTCCCTCTGTTAACCCTGCCCCCAATGTCCCCCAGGCTCCCGCCATGCAGGGAACCCCAGGGCTGAGACATTTGACTCTTTCACCAGGTTGACCACCTCCATCATTCCGTCCTCGGGACACATGCTTGCGTTCACTTCACAGATGGCAAAAACACACTCTACCACCTCACCAGTCTCATACAGAAGTATCACTCGCATTCCTTACCCACAAATGCATTCCTTACTGGCAAACACCTGGGCACATGTCACCCTGTCCCTACCAATGCCCTGGGTTCACGCATCACTGCATTCTCACACACACACGCGTCCTCAGAACCCTGACCTTGTCGCTAAGGCGCTATTAGCCCCAGGGCAACCATGTGTGCCTGAGCTGGGCTGTGGAATTGGTGTCTGGTCCGAGGTGCGTTCCTGTGAGTCTTCCCGAGAGGACAGTGTGGCCACCTGGGAAGGGTCTGGGCTCGGACGCTAAAGCGGGGCCCCCTGGCCCCTCTGGCGCACAGCTGGATTCCGGAATCCAGGCGGAAGGCAGAGCCCGGTCCGCCTGGGCCCCTCCTGCAGTCTGGCGTCGGAAGGAGACGCCCCCACCCCCACCCCCGCCATCCGGTGGGTAAAAATAGCCGCGCACGCAAGCCTTGGGAACTGTAATGGGAGCCACATGTTGGCCAGATGTGCCCGGGAGAGACCGCCAGGAATGCGGAGCGCCGGGGGCGCCAGCCCAGCCCCGCCCCTGCTGCACAGGCCCCGCCCCCGCACGGACCAGGCAGGCGCTGCGTGCTTACACCGCAGTTTACTTTCTTGGGTTTCTGAAAGTCCCGTGCGCAAGGACAAGGGTGGCCAGAGCCAGACTCCCCTCCAGGCCCCGCCATAGTCCCTCCCCGGCCCTCCCTCACTGCGTCTGCGTCTGCGTCTGCGCGTGGCTGGAGTCCCGACTCCAGGACTCCAGGGTCCTCCGCTTCATTTGAACCTAGTTGGAAGAGCGCATCAGGGGCGGGCCAGCCACCGCCCCCTCCCTATCGGGGAGCCGCACCCCACCCACCTCCAGCAACAGGCGCTTCTCCCTCTCGCTCTTCAGCTCCTCCCAGATATCGGTCAACTTCCTTCTGTGGATGGGAGAGCAAGGGCAAGGGGTGGGCCGGGCTGGCTTAGAGCCCCCGCCCTTCTCCCTCACCCCTACCCACTCCCACTTACTCCAGCTGCGCTCCCATCAGTTCCAGCGCCCTCCTTAAAGACTCCACCTGGTCCTGCAGCCTCATTATGTCATCTCGGTCACTTCTGCTGTCCGTAGGACTTTGCGGGACCAGTGAATGGAGGGCGGGAGTTTCTTGAGGGTCTGGAGTCGGCGTGATAAGATGTAGATTCTTTTCAGCAGGGGCTACTTCTTTGAGGGGTACCTCCTCTTTGGGGGTACTCTCATCCTTTGCAAGTGCCTCCTCCAGTAGGGTGGGGGCCTCATTTGGGGGATGCGCCCTCTCAAGGGCAGGCCTGAACCCTGGCTTAGCCTCAGACTGGAGTGCGGAGCTGTCCCTCTTATCCAGGGTGTGTCTCCTCTTGCTGAGGTGGGGTTCCTCTGGTATGTGGACCTGCTTTCGGGATTGAGCCTTATTAACCAGAAGAGACTTGCCCTTGGGCAGGGCTGCCTCCAGAAAAAAAGGATGGAGCTGAGTGTCGTCCCCAGTGGAGGCCTCTTCAGAGAGCATCTGCTTCTGGGTCAAGGCCTTTTGTGGGGTGGAGGCCTTGTCCCCAGAAGGGGCCACCTTTGGGCCAGGGACTTCATCTTCACGTGGTTCACCTGGGGCAGGGACCTGATCCACTAAAACCACCCTGTCTGGGCTGCGGGCTTTGTCCTCCAAAGTTGGGGTCTCTTCTGGGGTGGGGGTCTTATCTGAAGTCAGGATTTCCTCTGGGCTGGGGGCCTTTTCCGGAGAAGAAATCTTCCGTGGGTTAGGGGTCTTGCCCAGAGTAGGGGTTTTATTCACAGAGGCTTTTGCTCGGCTGCTCCGCTCCTCCTGTGGTGATGGGGTTGAGGTCTCAGCTGAGGGCTCCCCTTGGCCTGAGATCCTTCACCCTCACATACTACACCCCTGGAAAGAAGGCTCTGCCCAGTCTCCCCCTCCACCACATCGCGGGCCTCTCACCTGACTGGTTGCAGAGCGTTGCCGGGAAGCCTGGGTTCTGGATCGCTTTCTGCCAGGGTGGCCTGGACCCCCGCTGAGGAGGCTGCCATTGGAGCCTATGAGAGCAGAACCTCAGGGACTCAGGCCTAGTCTGACCCCAGGTCTCTTCCCATCTCTGTCCCCCAGTCCTCACCCCACTGACAGAGGCAGTGAGTCTTACCAGGGTCTCGGGAAGGGCGCTTCTGACCGTCTCCACCAGGACTCCGAGATGGCCTGCAACATATCCCCATGAGACCCCAGGGGGTGGGGGACAGAGAGCAGCATTTCCTTTGTACCCTCATCCTTCCCCCAATCCCACCCTGCTCCTTACTTGGCTTTGCTGTGCCCAGTAGGGGCTGTCATCAGCTTCTTGACTGTAGGGAGGGCTGTTTTGGTCATCATCTTTTTTGGTTCCTTAATAGGAGCTGGGAGGGAAGAGGGGAGTGTGGCATTTGTTCACTCACTTGTCCATCCGAGAGTAGCTGGCCTTGTCCTGTGTTGTACACATGGGACTAGGGATAGGAGATCAATCGTATTTGACTTTGCCTCCTGGGAGCTCTGTGGAAGCTGACCACCCTCAGGCCACGGGGGCATAAGGAACTATGGAAGCACCTCGAAGAGTTGTCAGGAAAGGCTTTGTAGGGGAGATGGCTCTAAGTCCTGTCAGTTTTTTATCCAACTTTTTCTAAGACCTGCCCCTGTTTAGTGCCATGACTGCTTCCCTGGTTCAGACTTCATCTTTGTCCTGGACCATGGCAACAACCTTCCAGTTCACCCTCCCTTAAACTTCTATCTCATTTACTCCTAAGAGATCTCACCCATGCTTATGGGTTTAATTATCACCATAAGCCAACAACTCTCAAATTTTCAACTCTAGCTCCTTCTTGTTCCCTGAACTACAGACTCATCTCTGACTGCCTTCTCATTATTTCCACTTGGACAGCTAACCAGCATCACACACTCAACAAACCCAAAACTAATCTCTTGCTTCCCAATCTCCTTGCCCCCTGAATCTTCCCCTTTCCCGGTGTTCCCCATCTCATCCATTCACCCACTTGCACAGAAGACAAGATGAGGAGTCTTTTTTAACCCTTTATACCCTTACACTGCACATTCAATCCATCAGTAAATCCTGTCCGCTCTACCTTTAAAACATGTCCTGAATCCAACCATGTGTCACCACCTCCACCACTAAGAACTCTAGATCAAGTTACCACTATCTTCACTGTACTATTGCAACAGCCTCCAACCTGGGCTTTGGCTGCACTCGCCCTGCCTATGGTGCGCTCTTACCCCAGCAGTCAGAGTGAGCTCATGTTCTATTGGAGAAGCAGACAGAAACAAAAGAAGTAAAACATGTAGTGTTACACAGTTATTAAGTGCTACTGAGAAAGAATAAGGGAGTGTATAATTTTAAATGGGGTAGTCAAAGAAGGCCGCACTGAGAAGGTGACAGAAGAGTGAACACCTGAAGGAAGTCACACACAGTGACATTCATATCCATGGACATGCAAACAGCCAGCCACTCTGGCACATGCACACATGCTGGAATTTACTCACGCACGCATTATCATACAGATACATAAACAAATCCCCAGACACCGTGTCATAGTGAGCACAGATCCTATAACCAGACACCAGGCTTTGAATTCCTGTTCCATGACTTGCCAGTTGTGTAAAAACTTGGGTAACTTAACTTCTCTGTGCGCCAATGTCCTCATCCACAAAACATGGATAACAATAGTACACATAGGGTTGTTGTGAAGTTTGAGGGACTTAATCTATATGAGAGACTTAGAAAAGTGTCTGGCATATAGTCAAAGCTCAGTAAATGTTAACTTTGACTTCTGCTTCTTGTAGTATGGCTGATTGGGTGCTCTGTGGGGCCCTCCCACTAGAAAGCAATAATATCCCACTTGGGATACAATTTGGGGGCACCGTTAGACTTATAAGGGGTAGGGGAGGGTCATAGAACAAGGAGAAACCGGGGCCAGAATGGTGGTAAGAGAGCAGCACTACTCATGAAGAGCAGGTGTCCCGGGTTCTGCTCCCCTGGTTCACCACGGGCCCAAAACTTAGCAGCCACACAGCAGTGAGACCTGTGCACCACTTTCTTCTGGAGAGCTGAAGTGGTCTCTGGTGGTTGGTGCCCTCTGGCTACTGGCAGAAGTATAATTAAGTCCTCCCTGGAAGAAGTTTTCCCCTGCTTAGGTGTACAAGACTCCCACAGATTGAGATCAAGTCATGAGCTCACACGCAAAGATCATAAAACACATGAGAAAGCAGAACACGGCACTGCTCTGTAATCATTGAAGAAATAAAGAATGAGCCTGCAACAAAGGGAGCATCAGGAATAAACAGACATATTTGGAAAAAAAAAAAAAGGAAGCTAAACTACTAAAGATGAAAATCAGCACTCTTGAAAGAAAGTGCAATGTATAGGGTTAAAGAGAGTAAACATTGGCAAAAAGCTATAGAGAGAATTAATAAACTAGAAGTATAGTGAGAAAGGAATGAAAAATTTGAAAATCTTCAAAGGAATGGATAATAGAAGCAGGGCTTGGATTAAGGCTGAGTAAGGTGATGGATAAATCGGTACCCCGCAGGGCAACTTATAAAGCTGGATGAAAAATGACAAAGCAACTATTTCAGTACTCTGGAAATTGATAATCTGAGAAGCGTTTATGCTTAGTGGTGTTCTTGCCTATCCCTCCCCACCATCTTCCTCCCCCAGCTTGGTACATGTAGACTTCCGGCAGTGTGGGGCAGGTTGCGGATCGGCAGCTTCACTGCCATGGTTGAAGGGAACTCAGTTAATCTGAGGAGTAACCCTGGATTTGACATTGGTTTCAAAGACAGAACACCAAAAGCCAAGCAACCAAAGAAAAAATAGATAAATGAGATTTCATCAAAATTTAAAATTTTTGTGCATCAAGGGACACCAGAATAAGAAAAAAAGAACCACTTTAAAATATTGTAAAATAATTATGATTAACACAGTCTAAACTCACCAATTTATCACTAAAGACAAAGACTGACAGACTACAGTGAAAAAACAAAGGTACTTTCTAGATATCTGTTGTACAACAATGTACATAATTAACGCTAAAAAAATGAGTTAAGATGGCCAATTTTATTTGTTTTTTTACCATAATTTTTTAAAAAAAGATGACATAAATGATTTTTTAAATTACTTGAATATATTAACAACTCTGGTGAGATTGAACAAGGAAAAAAGAGGAAAAAATCTTAGAAATAAAGAGACTAACTACAGAGACAGATGAGATATAAAAGATTATAAGAGAATATTATGAACAACTTTACACAAATAATTAGAAAGCATCAATCGAACGGGTAATTAAAATTCTGTAACTCACAAAACTGATTCAAAAATTCTAGCCAGATTTTTGGCCAGCCATGGTTATCCAGGGACCAGGAGACCAAATGCTGTCTGTCTAAGTCTCCTAAGGTGCAAGATTTCTTCCCCTCTGAGTTTAAGGTGAAGCCATTTGAAGAGCAGTTGTAAAGGGGTCTTTGCAGATGTAATCAAGTTAAAATGAGCTCATACTGGATGAGGCTGGACCCTAAACCAATGACTGGTGTCCTTATTAGAAGAAAGAAATTTGGACACAGTCACACAGGCCAGAAGACCACATAAAGACAGAAGCGGAGAATGGAGTGACGCATCTACAAGCCAAGGACTGCGAGCAACTCCCAAAAGCGAAGAGGAGGCAAGGAAATATTCTTCCCCAGAACCTTCACAGAGAACGTGGCCATGCCGTCTTGATTTCAAATTTCTAGCCTCTAAAAATGTGATAAAGTTTCTGTTATTTTAAGGCACAAAGAAAGAAAGAAAAGGACAGAATTTTAGCCAGACTTACTTATCTTATAACTATCAAAGAAATTTAAGTATGTTTTTTCCTATAATGGAAAAAAACAGGGCCAGATGAATTTACTGGCAAGTTTTACCAGCTTCCTTGGAAAGATGATTCCCATCTTATATAACATCTACCAGATAATTAAAAAACAAAATGCATACTCCTTAACTCATTTATGGAGCAGTATAACATTGATAATCAGATGAAGACAGTAAAAATACATGTAAAAATCTTAATAAAAACTGGGAAAGTATTCTAATAGTATATGAAAAGGTAATAAACCATGATCAATATGAATTTATCCCAGGAATGCAAGGGTGGCTTAATATTAGAAAATTCTACAAATGTCATTCATCACATTGACAAATTAAAGGAGAAAAGCCATATAATCATTTTAAAAGATTCATATAATCAACTTAAGAAAATCTGACATGGGTCTTGATAAATATTCTAAGTAAACTAGAAAGAGAAAGGACCTTCCTTAGCCTGACAAAAAGATATGTACAAAAGATCTAAGCAAACATCACTGTTAAAGAGGAAGTTAGAAGCATTCCATTTAAAATCAAGAACACGGTAATGATATTCAGCTTCACTACTTCTATTCCATATTGTATTGAGATCCTAGCCACTACTGTGAAAAAAGAAAAAAAAAAGGCATAGGGGACCAAATTTGTCATTATTCACAGATGACATGACTATCTTCATAGAATATTTATTAAGAATCTATAGGTCTATGGCCATGCCACCCTGAACGTGCCCGATCTTGTCTGATCTCAGAAGCTAAACGGGGTCAGGCCTAGTTAGTACTTGGATGGGAGACCACCTAGGAATACCAGGTGCTGTAAGCATTTAAAAAAAAAAAAGAGTCTATAGATAAATTACTTGGAAAAAATCAGTTCACCATGGCTGGCTATAAAATCAGTATACATAAATCAATGCATTTCTATATTCCCATAATAAACAGAAGGATATCTAATTTTTTAACGATACAATAAAAACTCTAAGGTATCAAGGAATAAACACTATAAAAATTGTGTAAAACTCACATGCAGAAAATAATAAAAGATGCTGGAACAACAGACTGTCCATATGGAAAAGGTTTAATTGGATTGCCCATTAAAATCAATGCTACAGAGATAAAAGCACATAAAAATGAAAAGCAACACTTTAAAAGTCTTAAAGAAAATATCAATAACTCTCTTTCTGAACTTGGGGCAGGAAGGATTTCTTAAGAAAAAACATGCTAACCATTAAAGATAAGATTGATATGTTTGCATTAAAAGTAAGAACTCTTGTTCATCAATAAAAATCATTAAAAAAAGAGAAGACAAGACACGAACTAAGAGCAAATATTTGTAACATGTATAACCTACACAGGATTGGTATTCAGAATATAAAAAGAACTCCAACAAATTATTACTAACTAGGGAAATGCAAATTAAGTCCACAATGAGATGCTATTTTGTACCTACTAGTTTCATAAAAATGAAATCTGGTTAAAACCAAGTGTTGAAGAGGATTTGAATCAATAGGATCTCTTACACGAATGGTGGAGTGTTGAAGTGTAAAATCACTTTGGAAACCAAATTGACTTTACCTCATAAAAGTTGAACATTTACATACCCTATAATCTAGCAGTGCCACTCCTAGAATTATATCCTAAAGAAGCAATTATAACTACATACCATAAGCTCCTAAGGGGTTGTACTGGACCACTGAGGAGCTGTGGGTATTTATGGACAACTGCACCAATGGATCTCCCAGTCCCCCTAATCCCAGGCTTCCCGGGCACCCACCTGATTCTTGGGATACTACTTTTCGTGGGGCCAGCTTCTTGATCTGCGCAGAAAAGAAGTATCAGAATCCGAAGAGAAACCCCCGCATTTCTAGTATCAGAATCTGAAGAAAAGCCCCTGCATTTCTAGATCTACTCTCATTTAGGGGTGACCCTCCAGCTGTGCCCCATGAGCACCAAGACCCGCAACTTTGTCTGGAGTAGCCTGTCCCCACCGCCCACTACCACACACACACTTGAGTGTCTGGCTCTGTACTCACTGGGGGTGGTGGGAGCACAAAGTTGTCTGGGAAAACTCCTCTTCTGCCTTGAGACTCTCCTTCCCACCAGCCCATATCCTCTGTGGTCTGGGAGAGAAAGATACTGTGGGGAAAGTGATCCAGGTCCCCAAGCTCCTTCCTCCCCAGGTCCCACCCCTTCTCAACTTGCCCTTCCCTGTGCCCTCCCCTGCCCTGTGCCTTTCATACCTTCCTCAGTACTTTCACCACGTCCCCCCTTCGCAGTGCCAACTCATCTGGGGCCTCAGGGTGGTAGTCAAACAGGACCCTATAGGTCTCCGGGCAGGAGACTAAGGGGAGGTCAGTCCTCTGAAGTCAGTTCCCCTCCCCAAATCTGTTAGCAGCTCCCTCCTCCCTCAGCCTAGCTGGGTCCCCACCCCCCAAGGTCAGAACAGCTTGCGGAAGAGGGTTCCAAAGGACACTTTGTCTGGTGCTCACCTGTCCGCAGGTAGTCTGGAGGGCTGTCATAGGTCAGGCTGCTCAGCTAGTGAGGGCGGGGTAAGGGAGGAACAAAAGCTGAGCCTCCAACTCCCCTATGAGGGACACACCACCTCTGTGCCACTCTACCCAGTTTACCTTGGGAGGCCGCTGGGGCTCAGGGCTGACTGATGGCATGTCTGAGTTACCAAGGCCTAGTGGGGGATAGGGAGGTTAGAGGGATGTAATTCACAGGTTACATCATGGGAGAGGTCAAAGGGGTCACAGGGTCAGGATGTGTGGATCACAGGTTCAGGCCACTGAGAGGGTCATTGGAGACTGCAGAGTCTGGTCACAGGGTCTCACGGGGTCACAGGGTCCAGGTCTCACTTGGGGGCCCACTGTCCAGCAACTCCACAAAGTTGGACGGGAAGGCTCCCAGCTGCCCGTTCTTCTTCCCCAGCCACCAGCCGTCCTCAATCTGGGGAAGGGGGAGGTCGCAGGGGCATCTGGTTCTGACTCAAGGACCTCTCTATTGATCGTACACACTTGATTCTGCCCCAATTCTACCGGATGACCCCTCCTCCCTTGCTCTCTCTTTCCCATCTTTACGCCCTTCACCATTCCCATCGCCCACACCCTCACTTCATCCATTGCCCTTCACCCAGGACGAGCTCCATATCTCCCCTAAACCTTCTCATTACTTCACTCCCTCACCTCCTTTATCACTTCCACAATATCCCCAGCTTGTAACTTCAGCTCGTCCGCCTGCTCTGGGTTATAGTTGAAGTTCACTTTGCACCATCTTTGGGGACCCCGAGATTTGGCGAGGCGACCTGGGTGGGGGAAAGTGAGCGAGGCCGCTTGAGCTCGATGCCCCTGTCCGCTGAGCTGGAGGAAAGGCGGGGGCTGCCAGGGCCCGTCTAAGTACCCTAGGCCCCGCCCTAGGGCGGAGCATTGTGCTCAAAAGCCAATCACAGACAGCAAAGCTGCTGAGGGGCCCCGCCCAGAGCCGCGCCCGTCGTGGGGAGCAAGGGGGTCAGGGTCTACCGGACGGCGCCTGCTCTGCGTGCCCGCCCACCCGCCCAAGCGCTCACCTCGGCGGCGCGCACAGCGTGGTTCCGGGGCCTCCCCCGCGCCACGCAGTGTCTCCGGGATCTCCTGGAAATGAGAGCACCATGTGGGGG